TTTGCTCCCCCGCCCCCCCCCCCTTCCTCCCCCCTTCCTCCCTTTCCTCCCTGCTCTCTCCGTGATGGCTTTCATTGTTTCTCTTTTTGCGCTCCTGTTTCGATCTTATTTTTCTCTTTCTTGCCATTTCTGATTTTTCTCAACCTCTTTCTCTGTCTTTCAGGAGCATTGTTTCTCAGTTTCAAACCCCCCAACCCTCCTTTCTGTTATTTTCTCTCATTAATGTCCTGTATTCTTCTTCTGCAGCTTCTCTGGAGTGCACTCCATCTTCACCATAAACTGACAGAGGACGACTACCCAGTCAAAAAAAGAGAACAAGGACATCCACCGCCTTGGCCCCAGAACGTCTGCCCAATATGTGATCGCCAGACTTCATCCAGGGACAATCTCAGCTCTCTATCACCTTGTCTTCATCTTTATCCGATCTGGGGAAAAAAACTCTTCTTCCAAGCCACTCCTGAGAAGCTTCCACAAGTTCTGACTCGCAGTCCAAATACTCCTTACAGCTTCCTGGAATCTGACCAATAGTTTCCATTGCAGGCGTCCCGTCTCCATTCATTTCTGACCTTTCCAGAAAGAGCTTCACGAGCCTTCTCACGCTATAACTCCCACACTCCTCTCAGAATCACTCCCTTTTCCTCAAGATACACTCAGCCAAGCCCTTCCAACAACAATTCAGACCCAAGATTTAACATTTGCTTTGACTGGCTTTCCTTAAAGCCTTGTTACACGAGATAATCTCTGCAATCCACTCCTACATGCAAACTTAGTCTATCTACTGTTCGTGTTATCTTAGGTCCTTCATTGTACCTAAGTGTGTATTTCCTCCCATGAGTACTATTTGTGCTGAGCTTCTGCCTTACTGAGAACTTTCAGTAGTTGCAACTTAATGACTATACACAACAATACTCCTCTCCATCCCTAATTCTTCCTCTTCATCTCTTGTCGACCCACAATTGTAAACGGGTGACCAATTAATACAACCATTGTGTGTTTTTGTGCACTCATTCTGTGCATAGGTTCTGTAAAAGATGTCCTGGTGAAGTATCCGTATTGCTGCCCACTTTTTTCCTTCTATATATATTGTGGATCACTTAGGGTAGACATTATCCCTGAGAGAAACTTCACTGTGAAAACAAACAGTTGGGGAATAAACACTGAACCTGGCATCACATTAGGTACGGTTAAGTTGGCTCCTCAGAAATGCACGCCATTGTTGTGAAAAGCAATCTGAAGGAGATGAAGCAAAAAATGGGATGAACTGAAGGAAATTCCATTGGTGTCCCTAAAAGCACTGTGTTAGTAGGTAAACCGGGAGAAAGGGAGTGGCTGAAAGGAGAAAAAAGAAACAGGCACAGTTGAAGGGCTTCGAAATGTTTCGACTTGAAACTCTGTACTGCTAATGAAGAGAGAAAGAGAAGAAAGACACATCACAGATAACAAAAGAAGAAGCTTTTTCATATCCTCCCCTCTGTTTGCTGACTCTTTTATTGCTTTGTCTGCTTTCCATCTTACAGCTAGAACTATTTTTAGATGAGATGTATTGAAAATAGTCTAGAAAGGAGACGTGCTGTGCGCAAAAGCTCATCATAAAAATGTTGTCTGTCAGTCTATTAGAAAAATACAATGTATTCTATTTATCTCTGTTGAAAAACTCCAAATCTTTGCTGTCAATGTGAATAATGGCCACTCACTGTTGATATTATTGGTATTTTAACTGCACTTAAAAGCACATGTGTCTCTCGCCATACAAAACAGCTGTTACCCGGACCATCATCAATTTATTTTATATGACTGTAAATACATATAATCCTGAAGCCGTTATAACGACCTCTCAATATTTGATGTTGAAATGTGATAATCATCAAAAGCACACATCCACGCCGGTGTAGCATGAGTTGTTGTCATGGTTACAACATATTTTCTCTTCCTGGATGGGAGCTGTCAATCAGTGTAGCAAAAATAGCTGCTGCGGTTGGAGCCAGGAGGAACAAAGGGGGTCAGCAACAGCCCCCAAGAGCCATTGGGTTGTAATGGTATTCCATTTGTACACTGGCCCCTCTGTGTCATTGTTTGGATAGCAGCTGTAGCCTAATGCAGCAAGGACCCGTGAGCAGATTGAATGGTATTGATCAGTTCTTCGGACATGCATTTGATCCTCCAGGATTACAAAAGTGTGTGTGTGTGTGTGTGTGTGTGTGTGTGTGTGTGTGTGTGTGTGTGTGTGTGTGTGTGTGTGTGTGTGTGTGTGTGTGTGTGTGTGTGTGTGTGTGTGTGTGTGTGTGTGTGTGTGTCCTAGAGAGACTACTTACACTGCATCAGGCTCGAGGGAAATCTAAGCAGGCAATATCCAAACCAAGGCGCTCTGCTCCTGCAACTTTAGCCCCACACAATTACAATACTATCTGACAAAGATATTGAGCGCAGATCCCTTGCTATTTCTCTGGATGCATGTACCTGGCTAGAGCCTGATTTTATAAAAAAAAAAGACCAAAAATGGCATTAACACTGACTTATTGAAAAGAGAGGCCAAGGAGCCAGGGAGCGGGCAAACACAGATAGAATCTGTTGAGTCTCCAGAGTGCAGAAGAGACAACATAAAATGTGTCTCAAGCTCAAATGCTCTTGTCTCAGGTGGAGGGTGTGTCTTTGAAAAAGTCACCTTTACCTTTACAGTTCTTCTTATAAAGCTCATAGGTAACCTTATGGAGGTGGATTCTGAGAGGAGAAAATAACAGTTTTTGTGGATGAGGAGAGAAAAACAAATGGTACTGACAAACTGCTGTCTTGACTTTGCAATAAGAAACTTTCAGAGGTGGGTCGGGTCGACCCTTGAAGTCCGATTCCCTAAAAGCAGAATGTTTTTTTACTCACACATTAAGTCAGAGAGAAACTGTAAACACATATAAATTGGGCAATTTAGCCATGCAAGGAAAATCTTTAATCTTTTTTAAGATATGCAGCTTGAGTTAAAGAAAACGTTGTTCACCTCATTTAAAACTAGACACATTTTGAGAGTATTGTGAGACCTTTTCTGAGAAATATTATAGTAAAATAGGCAGTTACTAACTTCACTCCTATACTGTTTGGAGTAACTTTTACAGTAATATGCAGCATAAGAATTGATGTGGCAATAACTACAATCCATGTTGTTTTCGTTAAAAAAAGGTCTATTTGTTACTCTAAATCAAATGTTTTGTTTTGTTGATCTTTTGAATTGTTGGTACTAAAGTCAAACCTAATCCATGCAGCCAAAGTTGACCTTTAAAAGGCCATCGTTAAGTACTGTGGACTGGGTTGGTCATATCAGCACGGAGGAAGTTACATTTTCAAAAAATATAACTTTCAAAAAATAATGAGACCTCGTAATGAAGTATGGTATCTTTGTTGCGAGATTATCATCAAGTTTCTCTTGTGCAGATAAAGTATCTGGCGCTGATTTCACAAACTCTTTGGGGAAATAGCAAGTTTCTCAAGAATACAGATAGAGGAAGGAAGTGAGGAGATAAATCAGGCTCATGAAGCACCGCGGAGAATACCTGCTGAATTTAAGGTAGTGTCAGCATTCTTGGTGGTGGAAAGTAAGAATAAAATGCTCCATATAGGGAGTTCAGTGTTTTTGAAATATCATGCCATTCATCTGGGACGCTCGTTCCCGTTTCTTTAGTTTGCAGTGGGTATAAGGGAAATACTGTTTTCTTTTTCATTTTCAGAGAGGAAGAAGAACGATAGAATATTGGACTTAACATGTAGACCAGTTTTATCATACAGTATAATAACTTTCTGTTGATAAGACATTTTGTTCATCCTTTTAAAATAACCATATAAATACAGATGTGTGTATATATATGTATAAGTATAACTTTGTAGAGGCTTTAAAAGAAACCTTTACTATTTGAAAGAGAGCTTTACTTTTCTCTCATATTTCTCTTAGAGGAGAGGATGAGTAGTCTATTTATTTTATCATTCCACGGTCAAAGCAATCGAGCACCGCAGACATCAGAAGAGAGTAAATCTTTTGTATCACAAGTTTAAGGCCTTTACACATCAAGGGGGGACAAATACATAAAAAAATTTGAAATTCTTGCTGGCTTGTTTTATTATGTTACAGGCTTTTATCATTAATGTTGTATGCGCTGCCTTTGTCAAGGTTGATAGGAGTATTAAAGTCATACTTGCCAACCCTCCCGATTGGTTTAAACGGCATAATAATAAGGGCAATCCTCCGTTCAGAGAGAGAGAGAGAGAGAGAGAGAGATGTGTGGCTTGTGCATGTGTGTTTGTGGATGGTAGAGCGACAGTGAGGGAACGTGTATGTTTCTGGAAGTGAAACAAGGCAGCAGAAAAACAGAGGTCTGTGATGTATTTTGTGAAACAGAAGAACAGCTAAATAAATGCAACGGCCTTCCAAGAAGAGCTCGCCTCTCTCCAGTCATTTAAGCTAAAGTTGGTTATTGAACCTGAAGCTTGTTGCTTCTGCCATCCTCGACTACGGTCTGGGAGCCTAACAAATGGAAGAGAACGGGTGAAGAAGTCACTGAAATAGACTCCCAGGTCGCGAGGGCATGAAAATTGGAGAAAAGCGCGCGCGCAGATAGAGAACCTAGGAGGACAAAGATGGGTTGTCGAAGGAATATGGGTGACTGCTGAACAGCATGGGTAAGTATGCTCCGGGTGGCACGTGCACACTAGAAAGTTAGTATTAGCCAAGTTGACCACACAAACAATCATCGGAATTCCGACAACAAAAGTGTAACGGAAGTGACCTAATATTACTCGACGTCAAATGCGATAAGGCGTAAATTTTATTTTATGGATGTAAGAAACGCCAAAAAGTCCAGGTGTCATCACATTGAGTAATGTAAAGTCTCTGTCATTATAACATTACTTATAATGAAAGTTTTATGTCATTATCATAACATTATATAGTAACCGCTTCTTTGTAGCCAACGGGTTGATGACCAAGGAGCCCATCCGGTTTTAGTAATCGTAACAAACCGATTGATCGAATGTCATTGGATCTCATATAAAATTTAACGGTTTCAAGCGTAAGTGATAGTTGTATGATGCTAACAACAGTCATAAATGTAAAGTTTATTTGATTCGTGTAAGTGCTCAAATCATTAATGGGTGACACACCTATTCAGGGAATACGATACTGTCAAATCCGGTCCCCAGGCGTTGGGGATCGTTGCCGACTATTCTTTTTTGACGCACGGTTCGGTAACCGTGCGCCGTGGGGCATTGGTAACCGTGTGATCCTTATTGCCCTTATTCACACTTTTTATAAATTTAACATAGAAAGCCTAGGACTTGACTCTGCCGCGGTCTTCGCGCAGAGGGGCAATGGTACGTCTTCCTTCGGTACGTGCATTGCGTCGCGCGAAGAAATTGAGGTCCACTGAAAGACGGCGAAAGGGAGACACCACGCACGACTAGCACAAAGTGGTGTGCCTCCTTTCGTGAAAGTTGATTAACGATCTAGGAGTGCTTTTTTGGCTGCGTTTTTAGGGAACTAATACGCCCGATTTTATGAACATAATACGCTATTTGTACGTCCCAAAAATACACTAAAATAGGCCACTTTAACGCCCTTCAACCGCTTTATACGCCTTTTAAACGCTTTATACGATTTATATCGGCCTTTTTTCTTATTGTAAAAAAAATTAATAATAAATAAGAAGAGTGTGTGTTGACCGGTGAATGCAATTTGGTTGGAAATGATAAGTTAATTTGGTTTAAGTTACAAATAAAAACATTTTTGTTAACCCCGATAAATAAGTGTGTGTGTGTTTGTGGGGGGGGTGGGGTGTGTGTGTGTTGTGTGTGTGTGAAGAGGCGGAGTAAGACAAAAAGTAAATGAGCAAGCAATAAGGACTGGTCGAGGTAGAACATCCGATGAGTGAAGCAAAAGAACATCGGGAGCTTTCCCAAACCCTCCACCTACGGAGCACGCAACAAACGAAAGAAGGCGTTCGTCGTCTTTCGGAAAAGCTTACAAAACTTACTTAGTTTCACCCAGGCAGTGACGCTCAGCTAAAGAGAATCACGAGGTTTGTGTGTCAACGTGCCCCACGTCTTATATAAGGGGGGGTGAAAATTTGGGCCAGAATCATCATCTTTACAAGCAGCATATTCTACTCTACCTAATCTAAAAAAGTAGAACCACAAAGAGATAGCACACTCGGAGGTGTGCAAGTGCAGATATGTCACAACCAATGTAAGACCACTTACGGCGCTCCACTACTGCAGTGCAGTTCCTGCTCCAATATGAAAAAAAAAAAGAGTTGAACACCACCCCTTTTTACGCCCCTCCCCAATACGCCGGAAACTATTATACGCCGGATTTTTCCCATAAAACGGACTAATACGCGCAGTTAAGACGCTAGCCGTCTTTAGCGCAAAAGACCTCCAAGATTTAACGTCATGGGTATTCCCTCGGACATGTTTACGGCGTCAAAACGCACCGAACACATTAAATCCAACTTTCGGGTCACCCGCTAGACAAGTAGAGAGTAAGCTTTATATATACGGATGTTTCCCCCGCCTGATCGGTTGACACTCAACTTTG